TTGGGATCTTTCTAGAATGTTTCAGTGTTGAGAACTGTCAGAGGATGTTACAGAGTTAATGACTGAATCTGAAATCACATCAGTATAATTCAATTCCATATTTCATAGAAAAAGCTGCTTTTTGTGCACAGTATGGTGTGTGTAAAGGTACATTGTGAACTTTCTTTCTCTCTGTAGCTGCAAACCAATATAGGCACTTCCAAAGAGTCAAGTATCTATTATAGTGCCTCATTAATATGCATGTTTTTGGCACTCAGTTTGGTTCAGCTGGTATGCTTTCCAGTATCTCATTCTTTATTTATATGAGACTGGGAGGTGTGACCTATGGAGCCAGTTGGCTGTCATGAATTGGAATATTCATTAAGCCTCATGAATTATGCATTAGACTGCTTATAATACTGAGATCCACATTTGATCTAGCCAGAACTCTCAACTGCTTCCCATTTGATGGAATGATCCACATTTTGGTCAAACTATACATGTGCTCCGTATACTGCAGAAGGAGTGAGTGTACATTTGCTACCCAGAAAGACTTGGAGATTTTGCAGCTCACATCTGACTAAGTGTGTTTCGTATTTTTGCATATAGAAAGGGCACAGCAGACATGCTTCTCTTCAAATAAACTAGATTACAGTCGCATTCTTCTCCAGCTTGAATACTACTTCCATCCATTACTGCCCTTGCCTATAAAAGTCAGCAATGACTGGTAAGCAGCCAGAATTGTAAACGACATATAGCTATCTCCTGGTGATCCACATATAAAAGCAACACGGAGTACAAAGAACATGGAAAGTGTTCTTAAGAACTTAGCTTCTATTATGAAAAACAAGGAAACACTTTTATGATAACCTTATTTGTTTTGTTACTTAGTATTGAGAAGTATGTCAAGCCTACACAAAACCTAATCTTCAAATTTTACTGATGATATAAAATGTTATAAAGAAAAAAAGTGGCTAAATTGTAAATATTTTTATTTTCAAGTATATGTATCAATATTAAATTTATATTATACTTAAATCGATACTTTTTAGAACAAAAGAAATCCGAACTGAGATGAACCACTAGATATTATGATTTTTTTATATACTTCAATAAATTCAAGAGCTAAATGCATGTCATTTTTACAGTCTTAGCATATGCTCTTCAACTCCACTCTCCCAATCTACTCTTAATGAAAAAATAGTTTTATATAGCCTTAATCTTAAACCTTTGATCATTTTCTCCATTGGAATGTGTCTATTATTTTTCCCAATGTGGACAGGCCTTAGAAGGCACTCTTATTCATGAAGGTAATTATTACCACAATTAAAGCCTGAAACAGAGTTTGAATGTGGTGAATTCCTTTGGCTATATTCTGGAAAAGTGGCCTAAAGAATCTATAGCCTGCTGTATAAGGGTCATGGGTGACTCCTGGGTAAAATGGCATTGTTTACAGATTTTTTAGTGAAGAGATTAGCTGTCATTTATTTTCACATACCTAACTGAGGCGCCTTGTGGTTCCCAGCAAGAGTGTGTTCTCGTCTCTTTCTCAGCCTGTCACATCCCTGTCAGTTTCAATAAAATTACTTACCTGAATTATGCAAATGAAGCTTTGTTATGTCCAGATCCCAGCATTGTTCTTCTCCACTACAGCTGAAAATTCTAGCAGACCCCTTGCTTACACTGTCTGATTCCAGGACTCCTTGGGTCAAGACCTTTGAACCTCGGAGCTTGACTTACGCCACAGCCATTTGACAAATCGCCCAGACCCTCACAAAAGCTGGTTGAGCCCCAGAGTGGCTGCTCTCTCTATACACCACTGTTTCTCTGTTTTGACATTTCCTTCTCACTTTTCCTCTCAGTAATTAGACAAAGGGAGAAAAAGACATTTGTGTTTAAAGAATGCTTTCATTTAGGACTGTGATAAATGGCTCCCCTTTCCAAGAAGCTGCAATCCCACTGCAGGACAGAGGGTTCCTTCACAAGAGCCTGGATAGGGAAGGCCTCCCACCAAAGCCTTCCCAGACTTTAGCTTTGCCGCTAAAGAGCCCACAGAGAGAGTCTACTGATTTCTTCTATTCTCAGTAATACCAAACAGTTGGAAAAAATGTAGCATGAACTTCCACATTAAAACTATCATGGTTCGAAAAGCAAAAATATTGAGTTTGTAATCTAAATAATTCTAGCAAAGCTGGAGGTTGAAAAAAAGCTAATAATTTTTGAAGTAATTTTCTTACCATTAAATATATTTCTGTTCCAATAATAAATTACATATTGAACTATAAGCCAGTCTTTGATGTCTCATCTAGCATCTTGAGAAAGAAAGCATTAACATGACTATCAGAGAAAGGGTAATTTTGAAATATTTTCAGGAAAGTTTCAGCATATGTGTTTTAGAATAAACTGTGAGCTTACCTTGTTATCAAAGGAAAGCCTGTCATGATGCAGGGAAATGTTAAAAGAGCATAACTTACATCAACTATGTTTTCATATGCTTGAGTTAATGTTTATTGTTCCACGGAGGGAGAAAGATTGCCAAACACGACAACAAATTGAAACTGCATGTGAACTCATAGTCTCCAGTTTGAGTGAGGAGTTAGCATGTTGCTGTTCATGCTATGGTTAATCTGTTGCTTGCACTCAAACCATAATCACTTAGTCAGAGTATTATTTCCCAAAGCAGGCAAATTACCTCAAGAAATCACATTTTAATTAATTTATTAGACCATAGAATAGATGTGATGTGGTTTTACTCACAAATTAAAGAATAACAATACAGGAAAATGTAAGACTCAAAAAAAATAAATAAAATTAGGTAATGCCAAGCTCAAAGTGGCATGTGGCATTTATATGGTTTGTAGAAATTTTCACTATTCTGAGACAGGTTAATACTGGGAAATATAACACATCACATAATTTTAAAAGAGCACTAGTTTTATTTTGCTGATTTTAAGTTATTAGATAAAATAGCTCCTAAAGGATTTTTAACATGTTTTTACTAAAATCAAAACTGGAAGGGAAAGCTGATTCAAATAAACTATTTAATCTCCCTTCCTCTCTCCTCTTTAGGTTTAGTTGAAGAGCTAAAACTGTAAATGAACGAACACATCTGAGATTCTATTCCCAGATCAAGACAAAGCAATGGAGGAATCAACTTTATTTGGAATTTTACTGAAATCTCTCTGAGGGAACAGGATCTTTATATGATTCCATGAAAAAGGTACTAGACCCAACAGCATGATCAACTTGAAATAATACAACCACAGGCCTAAAGGCCAGGAAGCATTCTGCTTCTGAGAGTTTTTCTCACTTGCAGGCATGCATTTAGTGAGAAAAGCAAACCATAAGAACTCGTCTGGTAAATTTTAACTGATACAGTATATGCTTAGCTCATGCTTCCATTCATTCTGTAAGTTGAACAGAACAGAAGTGAAGCTGCGGATACATAATTGAAATGAGTATCAGTAAAACTTTACAGCTCCCAGGTAGAAAAGAGCGCACAGCTTAGTGCAAATGGTAGCTGCTGATCTTTGGCAAATACAAAGCTATATTTGATGTATAAGTTCTTATTATGTGTTTTTAAGTCTATAACTATAAATGTATATAGTCTAACAAGTTGTTTACATGCTAATATGTGATTTCGACAATTCAAGAAACTTTTGTCTTTACAAGCCCTAGTGGGCTCCAATGTCAATACACTACATTCTTTATAAATTCTATTGTCTTTCAAGTAACCTATATGTTCTTACATGTAGTTAGTCAGCCAAATGAATCTTTATTTCTAAAGTAAAACACATGCTTTCCCTGATGGATCATGATGACTCACTCATCTATTTTCAGGGAGGAAAAAAACTTTACTTAATATGAACTCCCTCTAACAGGTCTTTTGTATCCAGGAAAGCCACAGACTAAATCTATTCATTCACTATCCTGAAAAGCAAAGCATACATTTCTTAGGCCTATCACCCACATTTAGTTAATACTTGATACAAGATTATTTTTATTAGTCATCTACTAAATTCTACTCATTCCTGCTCCTGGAAGCTTGAGGTATAAAAATAAGAAAAATAAGCCTGGTGAGATGGATCAGTGGATAAAGTGATTTCTGCATAAACATAAGGATCTAAGTTTGGATGTGTACGCTATAACCATATTGCTGGAGTGGAGTAAGACCAGCAGATACAGAGGTCAGTACTAATTAGCCACCCAAGCTAAAATATTGAGCTCTTAGTTCAACAAAGTATCCTGTCTCAAAATATAAGGTGTACATTCATTGCGGAAGACATCCAAAATTGATCTAAGGCCTCCAACAACTATACAAACAAGCAAGAACAGTATGAAATAATTTTGAAGCAAACATTACAAAAAGCTCAAAGCCTAAACTAGCAATTTTATAAATGTCACAAGTAGCTGAGATCACTTATAATGATGGCCATTGAGGATGTTTTAGAGTAAGATTATATCATCACTGATGATGAAAAAAATGTGCAGTTCAGTCATTCATTAGAAAAATAATTTTCTACTGTTCAGTGAATAGATGTGCTTATAGAGATTAAGTTGGTGATTTATTATTATTATTATTAAATCCTTTTTTATAGTCCAGTTGTATCCCCCTTTGACCCTTTGACTGTTCCTTATCCCATTCCTCCTCCCCCCACCCCATCCCCATCTCTAAAAGGATGGCCTGACCGCCACCGCCACCACCAACCAGATCTCTCCACTCTCTGGGGCCTCCAGTCAATTGAGAGCTAGGTGGAGTGCGTCTTCTCCCACTCAGGCCAGACCAGGCAGTCCTCCACTGTATATGTGTCAGAAGCCTCATATCAGCTAGTATATGCTGCCTGGTTGGTGGTCCAGTGTCTGAGAGATGCTGGGTGGTCCAGGTTACTTGAGACTTCTGGTCTTCCTATAGGGTAGGCCTCCTCCTCAGCTTCCTCCAGCTCCTCCCCAATTCAACCACAGAGATCCACAGCCTTCATCCATTGGTTGGGTGCAAGTACCTGCATCTGATTCTTTCAGCTGCCTGTTGGACCTCTCAGAGGGCAGACATTCCAAGCTCCTGTCAGTAAGCACACGATAGCATCAACAACAGTTTCAGGACTTGGAGCCTCGCCTTGAGCTGGATGTTGAAGCAATCCCACTAAAATCAGAGACAAAGATGACCACTCTTCCTATATCTATTCAATACAGTACTCAAAGTTCTAGCTAAAGCAATAAGACAACAAAAGGAGGTAAAAGGGATAAAATTTGGCAAAGAAGAAGACAAGCTATCACTATTTGCAGATGATATGATAGTATATATAAGCAACTTCAAAAATTCTACCAGAGAACTTCTACAGCTGATGAACAATTTTAGTAACGTTACTAGATATAAAATTAACTCAAACAAATGACTAGTCTTATTTATATAAATGATAAATGGGCTAAAGAAAAAATTAGGGAAAAAACACCTTTCAAAATAGTCACAAAAATATAAAATATCTTAGAGTAACTCTAACCAAACAAGTGAAAGATCTGTATGACAAGTACTTCAAGTATCTCAAGAAAGAAATTAAAGAAGACCTCAGAAAATGGAGACATCCCCCATGCTTATGGATTGGTAGAATTAACATAGTAAAAAATGCCTATCCTACCAAAAGCAATCTACAGATTCAACGGAATCTCCATCAAAATTTCAAAACAATTCTTCTAAGACACAGGAAGAGCAATTTTCAATTTCATATGGAAATAAACAACCAGAATAGTGAAAACAATTCCTACCAATGAAAGAATTTCTGAGGAATCACCATCCCTGACCTCAAACTGTACTACAGAGCAATCGTGATAAAACCTGCATTGTATTGGTACAGAGACAGACAGGTTGATCAATGGAATAGAATTGAAAATCCAGAAATAAAACCACACACTTTTGTATACTTGATCTTTGACAAAGAAGCCAAAAATATATAATGGAAAAAAGAAAGCATCTTTAATAAATAGTTATAGTCTAACTGTCAGTCAGTATGTAGAAAAATGAAAATAGATACATATTTGTCACCTTGCAAAAAACTCAAGTCCAAGTGAATCAAGGACCTCAACATAAAACCAGATACACTGAATCTAATAGAGGAGAAAGTAAGAAGGAGCCTAGAACTCATTAGAATGATAGGGGGAAATTTCCTAAACAGAACTACAATAGTTCAGGCTCTAAGATCAAGAATCGATAAATGGGACCTCATGAGACTGAAAAGCTTCTGGTAAGGCAATTTTTAAACATCTAAATAATGTGTAATGTTGTGCAAGTAAAAATATATTAATCTATTTTAACATGATTATTTCTCAGAAAGTAATCAAGCAGAACTTTCAGTCTGTAGTTATTTTGATTGCCTATAGTCTTTTTGAAAAAAAAAAAAAGGTCTTCCTCATTACTGTTCAAAAATTGGTAGAACTGTCTTAGGTCAACAGGATAGAGACTCTATTCAGTGCCGTGGTCTGAAATAAAAGACTATTTGACTTTTATAATGAAGCTATAATAATGGCTTCTACTTTCTGCCCAATAATTTTTTTTAAAAAAGTTGTATAACTTAATTTATTAACATGATGTTAACATCTTGTATCTATCTGCACATGCTTTTCTTCTACAGTGAACTTTAGGTTACTTTTCTGAAAGTCTTATCTTCCTTTTCAATTTTTTCAATAGAAGGTTACTGAGCTTCTACTCTCAGTGAGATCCACACTTCACACCTAAGCATGTGGCATCCACATCTTCTACCATGAGTTCTCACAATCAAAATTCCTATAAGTGAATCCCTACACCTTTTCTTTACAGTTCCTTCAGAAATGAAATGTATATATTTCCTTATGCTACATCCATCCCTGCCAGTGCTTCAATCCAAATTCTCCTAAATTTCTGCATCTAGAAGTAGCTGAACCTGCTTGTCTGTTCCTTATATCCATAAAGAGAGTCTCCAGTATAAAATTCAAAACCAAGTCCACTAGAACTTAATAATCCTCAGTAGCATCCACATTGAACTGAAACAAACTTAAGTATCTAAGCAAGGGTGAAAACCATTGTTGCAACATGCCTGGTCTTTTCTTCTATTGAGCCTTCATGATCCTCTTTCTGTTTCCCCAATCTGAATTACAATCTAAAACTCAACAAAATCTGTTCTTAATTCCATCAACCTTACAAGAACTTTCACACTCATTGGAGTCTCAAATGACTTCCTGCACTCTGGTGCTCTGTTGATTCATTAGCCATGGAACTTATCTGTTTACACCATAAAGCCAGGAGCTTTTCAAAAGTAGAAAATTGTTTCATTCTCTTTCTTTCAATTGCCTAGAATTCATTTGGTATTTATTTAATAATTATTAAAGGCAAGAGTCATCCAAAACAGAGAATTTGGTGTTATATTTTTTCTCTTGGAGAGAGGTATAAATAAAGGGTTTTCTGATTACTGGCTCAATGATATGCTGATTTGGGAAAAAGGTTTTATCTTTGTATTTTTCAAAAAGGTGATTAAGGTATTTACACCTCCCAGAGTTATATGGATCAGAAATGATGAAGGAAGGCCTCCAGAGATTAGATTACAGAGAATCAAATGAAAAATTATCTTGATGATACTAAAATTTGTTTTGAGATTTGTATATTACAGAATATACAGCCTTGGTGAATCTCCTCATCAGGCATGCTGAACTAACCTGCTTGAACTCCTGATGTCCTGGACTGATGGATTCAGTTAAGACACAAACATCAGAGACTAAATCAACCATTGATGTGGCCTTCTTAAGGACAACTAACTTTCCCATTTACCCTCCCCCCAACCCCTCTTTAAAATATCTCAACATGCATATTCAGCTTGAAGAAGTTATGAAGAGTCAGCACTCCAATTTCCTGAGCTTTAGGGGCTGGAGGTGGTTACTATTAGGTTGTCATTCTAGGTAATTTAGAAATGGTCTTGATTGGAACAGGGAGAAATAGTTAGAATTAATTACATAGCAATAATCTATTGGTAGAAATATTTATAACCATTACTAAGTTGTAGTCATAATTTCTTAGACGGTACAGAATTTATTTTGATACAAAATCAAGGGTTTCATTGCTATAAAATTCTTCTATTGATACAAAATTTTGTGAGTACAAGGCTTAGACCCAGTCCTTCTTAACTGTTTTTCTAAAGTGATCTGAGATGTTTAGTCTGTGAATTAAGGCCCTAATAGCAAATTCATGGCTCTGGGTTTATTGTTAGGGTGTTTTCTAGATTTTAATTAAAAATAGCTGAGAGTAATCAATGGACAACAGTTCAGATTACATAGATAGTTGGTTTTCAAAAATACCATAAGTACACAAAATATGACATTATGGACATTTCTTTTTTGAGGATCATTTGACTAGAGACCTGTCTACTCTACTCCTGACAGCACCCCTTTCTTGGACTCAAAGAAAAATTTGAACATCTATGGAGTTACTGCAGTAGTGGCAAGATAGCCACTAGGCAAGAATTTCCTTATTTCATCTACAGACTAAATGCTGTCCAAAAAAACCACAAATTATAAGTTAAGATAGCTTAGTTCTACCAAAACAGAATAGGCTTGTTCTTAATGATTCCTGTTTGTTTAAGGTCTGTCAAATCTTCTTGGGCCAGAAGGCTAAAGATCAGATACTTCAACATTTTAAAGTATAAGGGACTGTCCAGGTGATCAGCAGTTTCTATAATTTGGCTAAGTTTTGGAAGCTATGCTTTGTGCTACCCATATTTTTGGTTAATTCACTCATTCTTGGATTTCTGACAGGGTTGAAGACTTATAGTCTCATAGCCAACTCAGGCTATTTACTTTGAGAGAACAGATTTGAGAGCATGGTTTTCAGATGACATTCATTCTAAAGCCAGGATAAAAGCCAGGTGCAAAACTATAATCTTTTAAGTTAGGATAGATGACAATGGTTTTATTTTTTAATTGACAATAATGTTGGCTGGGTATTAGGTCTATCTTGTACCTTACAATGACAAATTGATAATAGCTGTGCTCAATTTATATTTTTAGAGAAAGTTTTTGTATTCTAATAGAAAGGGTGAAGTGTGGCAGAAATTTCCTGCCCGATGTATCTGCAGTGTGAGCCCTCTCATTGGACAGCGAAGAGGGAGGCAGAGCTAGGAGTTGGGAGCGAGGAGAACAGAGGAAAGATGGCAGCAGATGTATACTCACATGTCTTTAGCAGTCTCAGGTAGCTATTCCTATCAAAAGGTTAGATAATTGGAAAAACAGTTCTAATTGTGTGGACATCTTTCGCATTGAGTATTTGTTGGTATATAAATTCATTGGTTAACTTTAAGCATCTAGAGTTTTGATTTACCTGGTTGTTGGGTGCTGTGGCAGCTGACTGTGGGGTAAACGACAGTGGCATGGTACTAGCATTGCCTTGCTGTAGAGCCTGATGAGATGAGATGAGAATGCTCAATTCTGTCTACAGAACTGGGAGCTGATGGTTGTCTTTGTGCTGCGGGTGCCACCATTAGTGTGGAAATTTAGAGCCAGCAGCCAACCAGACACATTCCTTTTAAATACCTTCTGCAACATTATGTAAAATCTCTAATGAATATATGCTATCACTAACATATGAGAAAAAGGAAAAGGTAGGAAAAGGTAATAGAAGTAGGTCCAGCAAGTATTACTGAGGTTAAACATTAAATATGGGGTGGAGGAAGGACAGTTTTTAACACAGGATTCCAGATTCAGCTCCAATATGTAAAGAGCATAAGGGTAATTGACACATTTATTGAACAGGAAAAGGTCAACCAATCCAAAACGGCAAAGCTTATTTGAACCCTAACACAGCAAAAACTACCCTTTTAAGACTTGGGAAACATAAACAAACACCTTGAGAGTCTATACTGAGATGTTCCTTATAGAGCAGAAACTGCTGAAACATAATCTGGTAGGAACATTTGACGGAAATTTTTTTTTATTAATTGCAGGAGACTAAGAAGCTCCTGAGGATGCCAGTTTCCAGTTTCCTATCTTTTACTTCCAGAAATGACACCAGGATTACACTGTGGAGACTAAGACAATACCTATTTA